CATAATTTTAGCGAAGGGACGACATCATTTAGGGTTTTCAAATCCAATGGCTCCGCGTGACCAGCCACCATCACAACAGGCCCCGATAGCGCATTTTTCAATAGTATTTGAAACGACTTGTGCCGGCAGCTCTTGCGTGCTCTATATGATAGAAGTAAATTTATGGATTTATTCTCGGAAGTATAGCAAAGTAAATGAAATAACCTTGTAGAGTCCCATGGAAAGAACAAAAACGTCTCAATTCCGTTTTTTGGCAGCATTCAATGGTACTCAGCCAAGAAGAGTTTGGTCTCACAGCATTTTGAAAAGGAATAGCGCACGATTCATGGTAAGTGCTTACCTCTTACAATGTAAAACTATCAGCATATGGGGAGAACTTCTAAAACCTAGGTCGCCTTCCTACGCTCTGGTTCGACCTCCGGAGATGACTCGATACTAGACCAAGCCCGTATTTTGTCCATCAATGTGACCAATGTCGGAACAAAAGGGGACAAACAAGGCGGTGGCGCTAGCCGATGCCTGCCATGTCCTTCTGGCCAATTCGGCAAGTGTATACCATGCCCACCCGGTCACTTTATGACACCCGGGGTTTGTTTATCAGAACAAGTACTAGTAACCATTAACCCTGCCGTATTGCAATATTTAGACCCACGAATGTGCCCTCTGCCCGTCAAACACTGTAGCTAACGCATCGTCAGACCGGATTGGGATCGAAAGCTGTGTGGCTTGCGGAGAAAATCTGCACTCTTTGGATGGTATTGCATGCAGATCGGAAGGGCTTATATCAGTAATTAAAGATAACAAAACTCTAAATTACGACCTTTCGTCTTGGGTGAAGAAGTAAGTTACAATAATCGGCAGACCCTATGCTCTCAACCATTTTTGCGTAGATTACTTCTCTAATATATCCTTAGGACTTGGACAACTACAGCTGTGAAAGTGTTCGCTCGTGAGGGAACGTCCTACTATCATTCATTTAATTTCTCGTTATTCAACTCAGAAAAAGTCGAGTGCAAAGAAGTTTACGACTCGAATGATGCTTTTTCTTTAGCTGACCAGGTACTTTTTTTGAAATCCTTCAAACTATTTCTCGAAAGAGTAAACTTGCAGAATCGTGAAACAATCTCTGGAGCTGCGTGTAGATTAACCGTCTTACCGGATATTGGCAGCAATCGTACCAAACTGGCATATGTTTCACCGCTGCTGTGAGTTTTTGTTTCAGTCCTAGTTTCTTACAATCCCAACACGACATTTCTATGATCATCATTAGCCCTCTTCAAAAAATATGCTTTAGCTATGATTTCTATATATTATGAGATTAAAGAATGATTTTTCTTCTTGAACAAATGATTTCCGCGAGGAGATGAATTTCCATTCTGTGCGACGTTTAATTTTGAAATTTGATAGTAAGGAGGAACATTCACGATAATCTGACCAAAAATGAAGTAATTTACTGTGATGGAATGCTTTATA